ACAGAAAATCCTGAAAAGTCTTTCTATTTCACTTTTACTCAGCTCTGAATAGCTTAAGTACCTCTTACCTGTGATTGTACAAGCTGGACAACAACTGAAATACTTCTTGTTGTATTTTAAAATAGATCTTTGGTAGAAAAATACTTTTATCTGGCAATTACTCATTTCCAAAGACATGCTGAGACAATCACTCAGCTACGCTCGTGCGGGTAATTTTATTGACTTTAACAGACAGGTATCATGTATGAGCAGAATGAGCAGGAACTGAAGGAGTGATGTAATTTTGTGTATATGCAGCCTGCTGGAAACATTTGAATGCAATTAAGCTTTCAGACAGAATGCCAGGCAAGATTTTAATAACCATGGAAAAAAAATGTAGGTGATTTTCATACTTATCAAAATAAGGAACTGTTGAGAACCATTAATAATGTGGGTAAATGCTGTCTAAGCTTCCCACACGCAACTCTGCCAATAAGCTTTAATTTTCAGCTGCAAGAATCCTGCTATTCCAGTCTGGAGCTTCTCCAGAGCAGAGATATTTAATCAAGTTACATTGTGAACTTGCTCTGCAACACATAAAACATAAAAAGATCAATATGTAACATGATTTGTTATCTCTGTTAGGCTTGCCCAGACCAAGGTTTTCAGGAGCTTAAGATCAACCCACATTAAAATTTAGCATAAAATAAACTTCTGAAGCAGAAGTTAACATTTCAAATGCAAGTTAGAGTGAAAACCTAAAATGATGCATGAGATACTGTGATATGATAACATTTGCTATCAGCAGCGGGAGACCCTACTTTTGTGAAAGAATACAGCCATTTTTATAGCTTACAAGATAAGTTGTTCCAAATATTTACCATCAGTGAATATCACAAAGTGCAATACATTTACCCAACAGGTTCATGTACAAAGTATTTCACTCACCTTCAAAGTCCACATCCCCTACTAACTTAGTCTTTCCTGTAAGAGGATCGTGGATATGGTTGATGCCTACGTCAATCACAGCTGCACCTTCTTTAACCATATCAGCTGTAATCAACTTTGGGATACCTGAAACCGTCAAGACATACTTGATTAACGTGGCCAGATAGTCTTAGGTCATCAATTCCCAATTATAGCCAAAAGTTAGCACACTCACATTTGCATGCATGGAAAGAGGATTTTTTCACTGACTTTCTTTTCCTATAAGTTATATATATTCACATATACATATACATATACATGCACATTAAAAAAAAAAAAAGTTTTCCACTTTTAAACAGTTTGCAAGTTTCAAGGGAAAAGCTGAAGTTTCCTTAATATGAGTATTTTAGCTAAACCTGTAATCATCAGCACAGTCAAAACATCATCATGATAAAAGATATGCTGCTGGTTTACATCAACAAGTCACCTCTATAACATTTCCAAAGAAATACGAATTACAACTGTGTTGTGATCCACAAGAAACAGTTACTCTCGTCGATGGTCCAGTTCAGGCTTGTTCAGCCTGAGGAAGAGAAGGCTGAGAAGGAACCTGATCAGCATATATAAATATCTTAAGAGAGGGAGTGAGGAGAGTGGGGCCAGACTCTGGCCCCAGTGGTGGCCACTGACAAGACTTAAAGAAATGGTCACAAACTGAAGCTCCAAAAGTTCTGCAAGATCTGAAGGAAAAAATTCTTAACAGTGAGGGTGACAGAGCCATGGAGCAGGCCACCAAGTGAGGTTGTGCAGTCGCCTCTGGAGATCTTCAAAACCTGCTTGGACACAGCCCTTCGCCACATGCGCTGGCAACCCTGTTTGAGCAGGGAGGTTGGACAAGATGATCTCTAGAGGTCCCTTCCAACCTTAATGACCCTATGATTCTATGGAATCATGTATGATATTGTCTCCAAGGATTTTTTTCATCTTTTCTATTTTAATATCTGCACTGTATTTTTATTTTTTCCTGTGTATTTGTTATATGTAGATGTTAGACAGTATGAACTGTTATTTGAACAATGTACACAAACTACATGAAATAGTACCACTACAACTCAAATGTTAKCCCAATGAGAGATTTTTTTCTATGCTACTAGCTTATTTTCACTTCTTGGAAAAAAACTCTGGAGCAATTTACAACTGCTAGAAAGSTAACAAGAATTATTTGCCCATAATAAACAATGTCAAGGCAACTGGTCTTCCTTTTTTTTCTTTTTTTCTTCCTATTTTTTTTCTTTTTCTTTTGCAAGTTTGCAAAAGTTTTTTTCTTTTGCAGGTTTTGTACACTGGAGAGAAAATAGCTGGGTAATTGGCACCAACAGTTTATTACCTGAATGAAAGCATGTGTTAAGAGGGTTCTACAAGGGCCAGGTATTAACTTAAAAGGTCACTAATGTGGTAGACAGCCTTATTAAATGTGGGTAAGACAAACCTGGAAAGTACTTGAAGCAGTGCAAGTTGCATTTCAACTGACACTGGCAGAAAAGAAAAGCAGCACTGAAAATGTTACGAAATTCAACAGAAATGAAAGCAAGACATACACATTTACCTATAAAYAGTTACCTTGCACAAAGGCAAGGTAAGAAGCATTCAGTTAGACAATTATTTTTCAGAAAAAGATCTGGGTCTTAGAACACCAAGTGAATGCAAGCAGATACAATTAAACTACTGCAAGAAACAGAAATCCTGATCTATTGAATACTTTAAAGTTTCATATGGGACCCTGCATCTTTATTGTGGGTGTCAGAATTAGCTCATTTATCTGTCCTCATCTCTATAGAAAGCCCAGAGGAACAGTCCAAGCACTATACTGAATTAACAAAAGGGATAGCACAACACTGGTTTTTTAGACAGTAGGTTAGGACCATAAATACATTCCACTAAACATCATTGCCACAAGACTTTTCAAACTGCAAGTAGCACCACATATTTAATTTTGGAAGTCATTCTATTCTAGCTTTGCAGATGTGCCAAAGTGAGAGGTAACTGCTTTACAGCATGCTCCACTTGATGTACAGAAAGGCCTTGTTCTTCAAGAACAAAGGTTCAGTAGGAAACTTCTTCACAAACAGTAGCTTTAATTACTGCGGAAAAAAAAAAATCTAAAATAAACACATCGATAGTGCTTTACAATCAGCACCATTACTTGTGACCAGAGACATGGAAAGAAACAAATTAGACAAAGAATCTCCTTAAACTTTAAGGCAAAATAATATTTGAGACCAAAGCAACTACGTGCTATTGAGATTCAAGAATACAAGAAGCTTATACTTCACCTGTATTAGCCTATTATAACCTAAACGCAATAAGAGAAATCTTTACTGCACATCCACTTTATATGACCTAAATTTCTTTCCTGCTATGCAACCTCTAACTTGACTTTGAAGTTGCACTTCTGTTACTTAGGCTCTGTTTATTTTGCCCTGTTTCTTGTGTGATCCCCTTGGCTCTGTCTCTCTGCCTAGAGAGGAATGGAGACACACTATTACCAGGTTAGATAAAGTGAGTATCTAAACTGTCTCCTCCCTGCCAGAGATTTATCTTGAGGAAAAAAATAAAAGAATGCAAATCTGTATGTTTCTGGGAATGTGTAGTTTATTTGAGGGAAGTGTTGGTGTATAGGGGCTTTGGCTTCATTTAAAGTGCACATTTGGGTCAGTTAACCATCTAGAAATGATATAAGAATGTTCTTGCTTCCCATTTCTTACTCCCCCATAGGACAAAAGCCTGAAACTCTGCTTGAGCAAGCCAAGACCTCAAATTCTTTCCTATGCCATTTGATAACATCTGGCTGTGTCTACTTCATCATACTCTTATGCAATCAATTGCAAGCTGGCTGGTAATTGGATAATGCTTTAGTCTTATGGGGGTAAATGATCTGTGTGTGATAGGGATGGAAGTATATTAACGGAAGTTACACTGTTACACCCTTTGTAAAATGGTTTGATAATAGGCCAAATACTTAACAGCAACAAATAAACTAACCCCAAACCAAATGAGCTGATCTATTTACTTAAGCCTACTTTACATACCAAGTAGAACGAGATAAGCGTCAGAGCACCTATTCCTAAAATGCGATGATTATAAAATGTGGGAAAAAAACTTCCATTAGTAATTTCAGTTAAAGAAGTTGAACTAGGCTTTAGAAGAACAAACATACTACTCTAGCTTATGTGCAAGGAGTATAAAACAGCAAACTCCTAAGAAAATAACCAGGCGCTGGCCTAATACAACATAGTTTGGCAAATCAGCAGTTCCCACACAGGATGGCCACAGCTCACATCCTGAGGGACACTGCGAGGAGTCCCAGCAGAATTTAATCTAGCATTTGGCACCTCTGGCTCTTCCTCTCCTTGCTCTCACCTCCAAAGCTGGCAAGGAAGACAAGCCAACTCTCCTACAAAAGGCTGACCTACATAAAGCTGTGGCAGCAACAGTAAAATCACAAGGTAAAGACTATCTAGCAGTAGCTACACAAACACCACAGAAAAAGCTGCACTTTATCTCCTAATACGTGCCTAAGCTGATGATAATGAAGGCATTGGAACAGTGGGAAGGGACTGGATTCCATGGTAGGATCCCAAGGKCTGGGTGTGCTTATGGGAAAAGCTATGCTTTCACTAGAAGGCAAAAAGCTTCATGACATTGAAAGGGTTTAGGAAGCTCTGTCTGGAAGACAAGATGCAGAAGGAGGGAAAGTCAGGCTGGATCAGAGMAGCACTATTGGAAACTGTGACACAAAGAGGAAGGAACAAGGGGGTAAGGAAGAAATTGCATGGATAATTACACTCAAGAAAGCTGGGGAACTGATGTGCAAAGGCTGGGGGCAACTGAGAGCGCTAAATTCAAGATGAGCATTCTTAAAGTCAAAATTAAATGTGGAGGAGTCTGCATGTGAAAGGCCCAAATGCAAGGGAATCAAGAGCCTCCTCAGTCAGATTACTACATCTGACTGAACATGTTTACTCCAACAAGTCACCAAGGCCTGGGCCACACTGCAGGCAGGCAGCTCTTCCAAAATATTATACAGGAAGAGCAAAACAGAAATTCTCCCCTTACACACAMACAAAGCCTCACTCAGCCTCCTTGCACAGTGGCCATGACAGCAGCTGCTCTACCCAGGAGACTAAGAGCTACCTGCCTTGTGACTCTCACTGAACAGGTCCCACACATTTCTGGGGAATGAAGCATATTATCCAAAAGGTACAGTGTGCACAGCTGACACGTAACAAGGAAAACTTCAAGGGATTCCACTTTCCCAAAGTGTAATCTTCCCCTGAGTTCCCACTGGGGCAGGGCTGAATACTGTTTGCACAATCTAGTCCTAGGTTTTTTCATCATTCCAGGTATATCTCATATTGTGTAACAAGTGTTGTACCATGCTGCTGCTACAGGTAATGGGAAGAAAAAATGTCAAGAACAAACACGGCTGAATCGCTACTGAATGGTTTTAACTGCAAAGGTAACCCAATGACACAGTTCAGTGCAAAACCATAAGCTATGATAAATCAGAAGCATAGATTTTTGATGAAATATTGCTCATTTATTTTCTCTTAGCAGACACATGATTGTTTTTTATTCATAGTGTATGAATTCTGGTTAGACCAACAGTTGAGTAATCACATGTGGGAGAATAGAGCTGTTTCTTGTTCCTGACCTCACATGAGAAAAAGATACTGCAGTTAAGCCCTGAAGGACAGCAACATCTCACTTCAACAGGAAATGATGAATTTAGAAATGTACATATCTTTCTTCATCTAGAAAGTAAGTTAGCAAGATTATGTCATAAGGATGGTGAAGAGGCAGGAAAGGAGGATAGAAAACCTCTACATGGGGTCCTTCAAGCCATCTGAGAAAAGCAAGATGGTATGAGCTGCAACGGAACCTAGAAATTTACCCGTTTTTTAAAGAGGTTAATTTAAATTTCTGTTAACAATCACAGTACATTACACTCAAAAATTGTTTCAGAATAGTTCTGCTACTCTTGGATATAGACAAATCCAATTGCCAATATTTCACTCTACATTCCTTTAAAAACATTTACACAGTGATCTTTCAAAGCCCTGCCTTTTGGCAAATATTATTCTCTTCCTCTTTATATGATAATTGCAAAAAAAATCAGAGATGAAAACATATTACTAAAACTACCATTAACTTATCAAAACTGTCCTTAAATCTAACAGCAAAGGAAACATATCATTGCTTCATGAATGCAGCCTCCAGCTGATTTAAAGAAATCTTCCTGTCAACATTTAAATGACTCATGATTTTTGCACCGTACAGAGAATGTTTTAATTTACATAATTATACCTGTATAAACTATGTACTGACTGGTTCCCAATCTTGAGTTCACCCTGAAGTCTCCCTAAGGGAAAGGTGTCACATGTGATGAGAACAGTTTATGAGTCTGCAAATGTAAAGGGTAGGAACAAAGAGCCAAATCACTTGCCCTTCTTACAACAAGAAAATCAACTTACTGCAACACCCTCAGCAGGCATGAACCAATTATTTGGTGAGACAAGTAAAGTAGCTGGTAGCATAACCAAAACAGACACTGATCTTTTCACGTTTTAAACGTCATCATTGGTGTATTAAGAACAATTATTATTACCTGCAGCCACTATTACAATGTCAGCTAGCTGAGTGTGGATCTTGAGCTGCTCCTTTGGAGTGTATCTGTGAGTAATGGTCACTGTAGCATCACCTGAAATTCAAGAGATGAACAATTAATCAACATGTAAGATTCCTGCACGGCGCTGATTATCAGGTAAAAATGAATTACTCTATTAAGCACATTTTGTGCACAATACAACGAAATTATCTGTGACAAAAAAAAAAAAAAAAAACACCAAGTGCAAGATGACCATCATTATACCTTGGTCCTCAAGCCCTTTCATCAATCATCTATCCTCAAGCTCCCGAGATGCCTTCCTTGACATTATGTCATTCAGCTAAGAAGGAAAGTCATGGTCTTCACTGCCTCTCTAACATGCCACTGTAATAGAGTTATCCTGGAGACAAAGTTTATTCTTTGTCCTGTGTAATTGGCACGCTTGGAGTGTTCAAAGACTAAGTGGAAATTTGCATCAAGTGAACCAGCATTACTTCTTACTGCTGTTCCCTTCCTCAAGATTTAAGATGGCATCTGACCAACAACAGCAGATGACAACCAAGGTTCCTCTTGGTACAATCTGATTGCTTTGGGAATGAGTCTAGTAGCTACGGCAACCACGGCACTCTGGGCCCAAAGATCTTTTCTTGGAAACTCTGTGTACCAATATTTGCATGTAAGGAGCAGATAGTGAAATGCCTCTGCTGACTGGAACACATACAGATTGCATTGAGGAGAGGTATTCTTGAACATACGTGCATACAGCACCASTATTTAGATGATCTGTATAACTCTAACTTGATGGATCTAAGAATGTTTATTACTGTAACAATGTAAAGAATAAACACATTAAACACACATATTTTTCCACAGACTCGAAACACAGTAAGCAGTCATTTTACACAGCTCAAATGCAGCAACAGGAATGGAACAGAATGGACAAAAAAGTGCTAGATTTTTGCAGATGTCTTTCCAACTCTTATAACTCCTCATAAAACAACAGCTGCTGAACCTAGGCTTTATACCATATTAGGAAGTGTTTGAAATAATCCCAAATGGAAGACCACAACCTTTTTGGCAAACTCAGAAGCTCTGGGACCTGCTCCTGAATGTGTGCACACTGCTTGGCAAGAAGCTACAAAGGAAAAAAAAAAAAAAAACACCTCCTAATAAGACTTTAAAAACTTTCTTTTGGAAAACCTGTTTGATGGAGATAATGAGTAGAAAGCAATATACACAAACTGAAGGCTCACGGGCTTACTGACTGAAGTCTCACACTGCATCCAAAAGCAAGTGTGGCGATCCCTTGACCTGGAAAACAGCAGAGATAACAGCTATTGAAGGAGTTTCTGATGCCAACACTCTCTCTCTATCTCTCCCTTGCAGCTATTTGTACCACATAGTGTTCATGTGATACACCCCCTAGTCTCCATCTGCTATCCACCATAATCTCCTAAACTGTATCATTAACCACTAAAAGCTTTTGCCATCTCAGACACTGCCATGTTTGCCTCTTCAGGAATGCATTTCACTGATCCGATCTGTGCCTCATCTCATTAACTCTCTTCTTTAAGTATCTCACCTTCAACTTGTCTGTGCTTTGGCCTCTCTGCCCTTTCTCTACTCTTTGATCACTCTTCTCCTTCACGCATCACCTCTCCTCCTTCAGTCTCTACACTTAATATGGTCTCCCTGAGTAGTAGCTCATGAAGATGTTTTCAGTTACCGGCAAAAGGAAAGTACAAACATGCATGAGCAGTTCCATGAAATTAGGGGAACTAACATAAGTCTTTGACCAACTTCGAGTAACTTCCCATTGTCCCAAGTCCATCAAAAGCTTATAGAGCTCACCATACTAAAAACATCTCCTCAACTTTTTTTCAATAGCACTATYTCAACCAGGACATAAAGCGTGCATGTCAATATTCCTTCAGCCTTGGCTCTTGCTTGCCTTTGGTATCAATAAATGGTAGGCCATCCAAACAAGAGGAACAAGTGCTCATTCATACTCCTCCCTTCCATACTCTAAAGCACTGTTCCTTAGGTTGTTCACTTGTTTGTCTGTCTGCTATGCACACATGCTCTTGCATGCTGCACAAACAGCTTAAATATTTTCTACAGAAAATAAAAGATGCCTTGTCTGAAATAATCATGATTCCCCAAAGATATATATATACACAACAATGTACTTACGACTGCACTCAGCAAAGAGACTGAGAAAGAAAATATTGATCAAAAGTACAAATATTCCCAACTTCTAGGATATAAAAATCAGTGCAATTTTCCCCTGGAGAACACGTCTGTAGTCAACATCTTACACCAGACAGTTGTTCTTACTACCCAAAAAGACCGTCCCTACCTTCCAAATAGTGTTCCAAAAGCTTACAGACACGACAGAAAGTGTAGCCTCTCCATTTATTTGTGATCATGTAAAAACAGAAAATATGCAGCTATTTTTACACTGCTACTTCTGCTGAAAGAAGACAAGAAGAAGATATTTAGCAAGTAAGATTAAGTATGACACTGCTGAGTCAATCACTGGCTCAGAGAACAGAGATGGTCCGTGACCTATCTGTACAGGGCAATTTGTTTCGTACTGTTTTCCTATGTGACCAGATACTGCCATCTGCAGGATATTAGGGTTTCTACAAGCAAAACATCATAAATGAAGACAGAAGCCCAACTTAGCAGTTTTACCATTTGGAGAAAAAGTGAAGAAACAAAAGAAAAAACCTACCCTCCAAGTCCCTTGCATAACTCTTTTGTAAATGTGATTTCATCAACTCACTCACAATTTCTGATATAACCCTATCTTGGCTGATAAAGCTGAGAAAGTTCTTTATTAGCACATGAAACCTTTTGTCTGGTGCCCCACTACTTGCTTAAAAAAGGCTCCACTTTATTTCTATTACCAGCTTTAAACTGTTCAAATTACTTTCTTAAGAAGAAAGACTTTGTTTAATAACAAGYAAAACCTGTAATTCTGATTATGATAAAGCACAAGGCCAGAATAATAGATACCTAATTCACTTGAACTGCAAAAYGCATGCATCTTGAGACTTTAGAAGTCTGCCAAAGCCATCCCTTCTTATGTTCCCAACTGGTCTGTGACTGCGACATGCAAATATTGCTCTTATATCAGCTGCTAAAAATACTGGTAGAAAAAGATTACTCAATTTAAGCTGTTATTTTGGTTATGCTCAGTTTACCAAACTTACCAACAGCTCTTGCCTCCTTGACTTAATAAAGCATGACCAGTATGTGTGCTCTGGCTCAGATTATCTTAACTGTTTCAAATTATTTTCTCAGTCATAATATGTAGGAAAGTTTTGACAACAACTGCCAAACAACTGAAAACAATACTGCTTTCCCTTCCCACTGCATCCAGGCTTGCCTCTGGGAGAAGCAGAACTAACTGCAATCAGACTTTCAAAGCCAGTCCAGGAGCCAGGAATGAGGACTGCACTAGAATTCCCCAACTTTAAAAAGATTTACAATAGTGATTACTAAAAATATTTACTTAGGCTTGCTTCTCAAAAGAATTACATGTGTTCTTTTATTTGCCCATTGTCAGCTGTTTTACAGTGGATACTACCTCTTGGCTGCTTGGGGCAGGAAAGAAGGAAGGAAAGAAAGAAGAACCAAACCCTGTCTTGAAACCATGCAAGCCCTTCACAATATTTCTGTTTATCAGTTTCATTCCTTCTGCATTACAAAAGGCATATGTCAAACTCCACAAACTGCATTTCCAGTCATGTATGGTACCTAACGCTTAGAATAAACAGCAAAAATCCTCATGGTTTTCATGGGAAGGGAGACAAACCCAAAATTATGCACTGATGGTAATTACAATTCAAACATGGAGAGAAATTTGAAATAGCAACTTTCCCACAGAGGCTGAATGGAAATGCCAACTCTATGATTAGTAAGAAGCTTTTAGTGTTTCATTATATTAATAATGATTTCATTCTACTCCTATTAAATACACTTGGGATTAAACATCCATGTTTACCTCATTTGCGCACATAACCTTGGAAGTTTCTAACAACAGACCAAAGTTGCAAGAGGACAGTGTTCTATTTAAATTATATTTGTTATTCTTTCTACAGCACAATTACAGCAGTACATCTATGCCTCTACAATTCAGAAAAGAAAAAGTCATTACAGCCCCTAATTTCCAGGGGGATGTGACCTGAACCACAGAAAAATGCCCCAGGGCAAGAGATGCCACCATAGAATTCACACTGAAAAGTTACTTTCTTGGTCATTTAGATATTTTCATAACTACATACTTCCATAATGACAACCCAACTAACATAGTACAAAGTAGTTGGTTGTAATTATTTTTGTACATAGTACTATTTCTGTATGTAGTCCAAAAATAATCATATATACATACACATATAAAAGTATATATAAAACATGTATATTATATATATATACATGTATAAATATATACATAATTTTGAGTATGTGTGTATGCACAGACACATATGACTAATTCAAAATTAGTATTACCTAAGTGTAGGGATAACAGATAGAGCTGTTAAGTTTTTATAAACATCACATGAACTTCCACTGCTCTTTAAGGCCACAGTTTCAGGTATTATCCCAATTGCTCCAAAAGCTATTAAATATCTGCAAATATAGAGGCCAGTTCAAACACTGCTTCGGCAATCTGAAAAAACATCAGGAAATATTATCAGCAAAGGGATTTCCTTCTCCTTGTTGCAAATATTGTACAATAGACAAAAGCCTTCTCATTTCTGAATCCTCTCCTTAGTTTTACTTGGACACTTTCACATATGGGAGCATTAGAACATTGGACAATACTCCYGGACTTACCTCCAGGCCTTTCATGTTCTCCATCAGTGTGTAAAAGCATTGAAATAGGCATTCCAACATTCTTGGATCTTCCAGCTACAACAACATTTTTACCAAATGTTTGTATTCCTTATAGAAGAGGGAAAAAAAAAAAAAAAAGAGCTGTAGCCTGCTATTTTGAAATACCTAAGACCATCTTCTAAAACTTAAAATGTAATTATTTGCTATTGTGGATTGCTGACCTCTACGCTACTTGAAAACTCACAAGGCTGAACTTGTGAGACGAATCCACAACCCAACTCTCAGCTTTTACAGTAGAGAAACAAAATTGCCACTTAACGTAGTTAATCTGAATCATCCTTTAGCTTCTCATCACTGACCATAAAGGGAAATACAAGCTCTTACACCTATCAATGGGAGCATCTGTATTATACTTATAAAATGAAAAAAGTATTTAAAACTTCTGTTCTTTCTCTGTGCTAACATGCAACTAAATGTTCTCATTTAGCTTTTGTCTGCCTTTTTCCCCCTTCTCCATCAAGACCATGTATATGATTCTAAGCAAATGAATGCCTGCTCTCAATGAATAGTTCTATTTTTGACAAAAGATCTCAATCTATTTGGTGCCTCTTTGTTATTTAGAACAACTCTAAATGCTTGTTCTTTTATCAGTTCAATATATTAAAACATCCCGCAGCTGTTATCATTCATCTTCACCCCTCATTCACCTTCATTTTTTTTTTAATCAATAAATGTACTTACCTGTCCGTTTTATGATTTCCCACACAGCAGCTGCAGTGGCAGGTATTACAGAAGGCTGATCAAGACACAGGCGTCCAATGTTGATAATATGAAATCCATCCACATCCTTTTCAGGTGCAATAGCATTACAAACTGTTCGCTCATCTATGTGAGCTAGGAAATGAAAGAAATCGGGAAGCAATGCACTTCCAAAACCCATCAATGCTTTCCAAATCATTTTACAGAGAAGTACACTACTTTCAACTTCCAGCATAATTCCATGTCATGTTTGGCTTTACCTGGCTGGTGGAAGGTAGGAGAAAAACAACTAATTTACAGCTTCAACTTTCCAAATCATCTGCTAAAAATAAATTGATTTGGTTTGTGACTCTGCTTACATGACAGCTTTTGTCACAGTATTACAGACTTCTACTCCACTGACAGTGATGTTTATTAATTATGAATGATAAATATTTAAACAAGACTCTTGAATCCCGTCTCCACTTTTGAAGTGTTAACAACCTAGTGACTTTAAAAAAGCTTTCTAGACTTCAATTTCTATTTTGTAACATGACAGTTTTTAAGATTTCGCTAATCTATGGGAAAAAACATAGCCACTTTCATTGGAAAAATTGGATACAATAAAAAATTGAGAGACATTCACGAGCTCAAAACACAAAAAATGTATAAATGATAATTACATATATTTATTTTTAATTTTCCATAGTTATTATTTTTTCACATGCTCTGTTTATACAGGGTAAGCCTTCAACTGCTTAAAGCTCATACTGCATTCACATTGATATTCATTATGAAACAACATAGTCTTTAGCTAAGACAAATTACAAAAACAAGTATAAATCAAGTGCTGTGAAGAGAAACTCCACTTCAAAAAGCCAAATAAATCAAAATGAGTGTTCAGAATGAAATTCAGACGTTCTTGGTAAACAAGTTYTAAATTGTTACATATATGAGATTTAAATATAGTAATTAGCTTGATTTATCTATGTGCTTTGGGATTTTTCATAAAAAAAGGAACTAGATAATTAAAGAATTTATATTAGAAAACTTAAAATGTGGTTAATTCTTGTTAAAGGGTATCCAGTATAAAACTGGTGTGCAACTGGATTGTGCCAAACAGGCATTACTAGAATTTAACTTTCCATTTTCTAAGGGGAGAAAATTTCATTTTGAATCACTATGCAATAGGGCTGTGGAAATTGCCATTGATAAAAGAGTCTTTCTTTCAAAAATCAAACTAGTTTAAACCAGATTGAAGGAAACTATAGCTCCATGGGCAGAGATGAAAGAAATTTCAAGTAGTCTATTAAATGGTTTTTGCAAAAGGAAGCCGGCCAATCTTGCCTAAAACAGTTTTTCTGCAAAACAAACTTGGCTGCAATGTTTTTCTTTGAGCCTGGGATATGACACAACTTTCTTCCGACAAAGACCTCCTCATTCCTATTCATCAGAGGCAGAAATATAAGATATGTTCATGTATAAGCCAGGCCGAATACCAGTGAAAAGAAGCCCAGCTGCACAGCTTGCCTTTTCCCAGGTTCTTTTCATTGATATATGCCCTTTTCTGAAATCTTGCAAATAACTTCTGGGTGGAAAAAATCCATGTAAAGCAGTGAGTGTGAACACTCCTCTCTTGCCATCYTTAATTAAAGCTATCTCATAAAACTCTGACCTGAGGTGGAAGAAAGACAAACATGCAACAAGACAGTTCCACTTGTATAAATTATTATTACAAAACATCAAATGTATATTTTATTTCTCTTCAGAAATCTTTTTCTCTGGGTTTGTTTGCATATGACTACAGATCATATATTTTGTGATGAAAAAACATCTCTTAAGGATTACTGTTGGCCTTGCAGAACATAATTCACACACTTAACCTGCCTTCTACACTTTATCATACAAAGACACTTGCAGTCATCCCAAGCTACTCTTCACCGCAAGTTTCTCTCYATATTTACACCTTTAATTGTTAACTCAACTTGCAAGAAGATGCTTATGGCTTGCCTGGCCATATTCTTATTTACCAAACAAACAGATGCATCAAAAGTAGATAAGCTAAAAATAAAGGTTTTTTTTAAGAGTATAGTGATGAAAATAAAAACATGGAGCAAAGAGATACTGTCCTAGGAAGTAAAATAYACAACTCAGATCAAGAAATACAGAGTGAGGAAGCAGTAGCTCAGCAAGAACAGTGGACTCCCTAGAAATCCCTTTTAGAAGCTGTACTATGACTCTGCTATAGTGACATATCCARTTGCTCCATATCAGGCTGCATTTCAGTTAGTGCAGTCCTTCACAGTGCAGAGGAATTTCAYTCATAGGTAGTTCTTTCATACTTCATGGCTACACACTTCCAGGAAAAAGTTAAATTTGAGCATTCTATCTCAGAGAAATACATAGCATTTCATAGCCTTCCCCCAAGCATTTTTAAAAGATACAGGAAACTGCCCACAAAACCATTACCACATCATAACTAATGCACTCAGAAGGTAAAGAGAAAGTAAGCCTTCCTCAGGCAAAGATAATAAACCTCAAAGTTAAGTTCTTCCAACTCATGAAAGTGAAAAAGAACAAAGACACTTTCTGCTTCTATTTTTAACTTTATGTCAAATCAAAAGCCACACCTGTGTGTTGTTTAAAGCTCTCTCCAAAACCAAATCCCCCTTCAAAAAAAAACCCAAACCAAAACAATAAAAAACAGAAAACAAACACAAGCAGCCATCACTGATCGAATGCCTTTAGCTTCTCGGCTTTGTCTCCTACCACTATAATGCAAGTTCAACTGATTTTGGAAAAGGAGATAATGCAGTCTTCTACCCTTCCATATCCAAAAGTTACTTTGGAAGAAGATGGTATTTTTGGTGAGAGAGAAAAAAAWAWATATTATTTAAAAAAAAAAAGAACAAAACAGTAGTCAGAGTCATATCTGACCTTCACTATAGAAAGAATGCCTTAATTTTTAAAAATGGCTCCATTTTTAGTCTTAGCCAATATATACAGACAAGTAACACTGAAGCAGATCTGCTGTTGATTTGACTATGGAAAATGTTTTCTGAAGGGAGGCAATAGGCAGGTTTCCAACTGGCAAGTTTTACAGGTTAAAGAAAGGGTAATTACTCTTAGTAGTTAGTGTGAGTGAGGTGCTGTACTTTTTGAAAGAGATGTTTAACCAGTTATATCAGAGCTTAAATGATTCAAGTGTACTAGCATTAGACTTCTGAATTGGCACATTTACAATTATCTTAAAATTGTTTTGTTGAAATGTTAAACATAGGTTTAAATCTACTAAGTTTCAAGGCTTACTTCCATTGTCAAATTATATGTAAAGAAAGCAGAAGACTCATGCAGAACAGTGCAATGAATTGATAGCCATCTCAATCACACAAAAAACATCAAAAAGGTAGTACTCTGCAAGCCAGGTTTGCTCAAGCCTAAGTCAAGTGCCATATCACACCTCCAMTTTATGGGGAACATTAGAGTGGATTGAGGACAAGCTTGTTTCCTATGAAAGGAAAGCTTGTTCCAGAGGACAAGCTTGCTTTCTATGCTAAGAGAGCCATTTCTATCACTAGGCTGCCAGTTGTAAATCTTTCCTGGAGTTCTTAATACCTGGTGAAAAAATAAAATATAAAAAATATCCACAACAACTCTCCTCATCTATTCTTCCTGGAAGTTCCTTCAAGCTAGACAACAAAGTACGTTCAGGTAACTCCCAGGTTTTATTGTGTACTGTCCAAAACTTGGTGCTTCTTACCTGCATTATGCTTCCATCTTGTGGCCAGCTTGCTTCAGTGCAYAGAAAATTTGGAGATCTTTAGCATTTAAATACTACCAAGTGCAAAACTTCCTAACCACAAATCCTAAATTTATTACAGATAGGAACAAAACACATCCTTCTCTTCCTTAAAAGTCAGTATCTGCCCCATTTCCTCTTTTTTTTTYCCCCCCAAGTAGAAAATAAACATAGTGAAAGCTGTCTAAAAGCAATGAATAAGACTACAAGACTAGTGGTAAGAGAGGAAATAAAAAGTTAATGTAAAACAAAGCCTCCACTTCATAATCATCATTCCTGGAACAATAAACCCTACATTTCCAGCTAGTGCTAGAAATCATGCCTTCACATGCCAACGACAGTTGCTGCCCTTCAGAGCTCAGTCTAAATATATGATATCTGACAACAATTGGGAATGAAGAGACAGGCAAAACCCAATATGCCAGTTAATTTATTACAAAGCATCTAGTAAGTCAGGTCCATCTTTGTTAGCAAACTTACGTGGTTTAAATAAATTTGACTAAACAGACAGATTTGGATTAAGAGTTTTAAGCTTAATCACTGCCAAAATACCATCCTTATAACTATTGCTACAAGTGGTTTATCARAGTCAAATAGGTGTGTTTTATAGTACACACTGCAGAAGGTGAGAGGTAAATAAGTATAAATACGATAAAGGCTTTTAGTATGTCATCCCAGAGCTCACCTGGAGCATTAGAGACCACACAGAAAATACCAACTGATGTTTAAGGAGGAAAACTGGGACCACTGAGAACAGCAGTAGCATCATCTGCTGGACAGCAAACATGACATGCTATAATGGATGAAGATACAGCAAAAGGTCTTGATAGATAAGGCCAATCAGTGCAACATACCAGAAAAAAATGAAGTAGCAAACTGGTTGAAGTGGCTAAAAAAAGAAACTAGTATTTTCATTGTTTTTTCCCCTCCAAAAAGGCAGGGTTGTTATACTTACTTTTTGTTTAATAAAAATTGTGCGCAATGCAATGCAATAGAAATATATCATTTCATTGATTAATTCTTCATTATGTGTGCGTGCTGTTAAGAGCACTTCATGTAACTAAGATTCACTCAAAATCAAAAGTTTTGCCAAACACTTCCTCTTTACATTGCCCATATTTGAAGAGCAGGATAAGAGACAGCACCTACCTGGGAGAGGTAGTTGAACTAATATACCACTAACCGTAGAATCCTTGTTGAGTTTAACTGTCATGTCTAAGAGTTCCTCCTGAGAAATGTCTTTAGGCCTCAGTATGAGCTCACTAGAAATGCCTGATAATTAACAAAAACAGAAGACACCAACATTAGTATCAAATTACTTATCTCAGGTGTGTTTAGTCATTTTGTCCAAAAATGTATCAGATGCTCAACAACCGCCTTAACTAAGAATGAAGAACTACAGAAAATTCCACTGTCACTGTCAAGCCACTAACACTAGATTTGGATGTCATCTACAATCTTACAGTGAAACATACAGGAAAAAAACAATAGCTTGATTAAGTAGCATCAGAATTCACAAATATTTGGAAAGATATACAATAACTTTTCTACAAATATATCCTTGAAAATTTATCAACAAACCCAAACAGATCACGCTAGATTAACAATAGTGCCTGTGTATATAGCGACTTCAACACTCACCCTACAAGTACGAAACTGTTATTAGAAGAGATAATTTTTCAAGCCACTAGACAACACTGCAGTTTCACTGAAAGCAACAAAATCCAAGTTTCCTATTTAGCCTGGGATTCTCTTTCAGATGGACACAAGATGCTGTAGTGATTGAGTTTTGCTCTGGCTAATATTTACATTTGTCATTTGATTTTATTATGCCTGAAAGTCTGGCCTTTGTATGCAGAACTGTGAGACTTTGGTTTTGGATTGCCTGATGGGCTTTAGTGAGGACAGACTGCATTGAACAGGACAAACTCTGTGAAATACTGCAGCTGTGCATGAAGTTTATTATTGAGACTATGCAGAAAAACACTCTTCATTTTTCTTTCTGTAAGAGTGACTACTTTATATTCTGTTGCAAGGTATTACTATTGCTACTATGATTGTAAGTGGAAAAAACAATCCACAAAAAACAAGGAATATAATGGGTGCTGAGAAGGCAAGCTCCCAATCTTTCACGTTTAAAAATCATCATCTTGGAAAGACTATTAACAGCTAAAAGCTCATATACTATCCCTCCAATTACCTTTTTTCACCCAGCCTAGATATTTAACTGTCAAGATATCTTCTATAGCGTTTCCCTTTAATTTCTAGTTTCTCAGGCTAAAGATGAAACTGTTTCATAGCATTTTAAGATATAGAATCAATACTTCTAATTATCATTTTTGTGTCATGAGAAAAACTTGTTTTGCACATCAGTGCCACTTTTTCATTTTATGCTCATCAGGATTAGCAAGGAAGAAAACAGTGCAAAGCAAAATGAAGATACAAAGAATCCCTCCATTGTCTCTATATTTTTTTAATAATAAAAAGATATTGTGCTTAACATGGAAACACTTTTAATTATCTAATACATACCTACAGTTGCAGCTGCTTTTATCTTATTCCTGACATAGATATGACTAGCTGGATTGTCTCCTACTAATATGACAGTGAGATGAGGTCTCTTGTTTCCAAGGGAGATCCATGATTCTACATCCCTTTGAACTTCTGTCAAGACTTGTTTAGCAAGTTTTGTCCCTGAGATAATGGTTGCTTCATCGCTATAAAGACAAAAAGATACACAACATTTAGATCTAAAATATTATAAACAAAACACTTAACTGTGTGATCTACTGTGTCAAAAATTTTCWAACGCTTTGATCACTGAATCTGATAGTATTTCAAGCACTATTTGAAAGATGTGGACAGAGTACAAGCCCACCAGGTCAAAGAAAAGAACCTCCCTCTCTTTTTTGAGGAACATGAAAGTGCCATGAGCACATACAAAAGGGAAGCTCTCCTGCCACACCCTATCTTCCCAACACATACAGACAAACTGTTCTTGGTGTTCATCTATGCATTCCTATGTGATCAGGAAGAGAACATGAAAACATTCTTACACCCTTAAGATTTTGCATGGTAAGGAATTTTTACTCTTTCCCTTTCCAAATTCCCTTCAAGAACATTTTTGGCATGGGATTATACATAGTAATCTTTTGTCCAACCTATCTGATAACATTTCTTATTTTTTCTCAAGATCTAGCTAAGTGAATGGTAAATAACTAAGCAGTTTCTGTCATCCCTTCCTTTCCTAAAAATCCTGGTGCTCCGCCTATTGCCTTTCTGTCCTCTTGTCCTTCCAGAAATCTTTTCCTCCATTTTGACAAGCACTATGGCAAACAAACATCCTATCAGGTGGAGTGCCCACCACGATCACCTTGCCTGGGTGGAAAAGCAGAGGAAGACTAAAGGAGTTCTCTTGTTCTGTGAATTGTTCCTGAACCCTCCAGACTCCCTCTATCATTGCTATGATCATCAACACAGCCAAATATGGTAGAAAATGGAGGGAGACCAATCCATATGCTAAAAAGTCATAAACCCATAAACTAAACCACAAACCCATAAACCCATAAACTAAAAAGTCATGCAACAAGAAATTCTATATTGACTTCATCTGAAACAAAGTGATCTACATGATTCCATACCATCATTTTAAGCAACACAGAAGCACAAGATGCATTTTGCTTTTTTCAAAGATTTGTGAAATTTCTCTCATTTTCAGTAGTTCTTGATGACCAAAAAAAGCTAAGGGCACTGGGGGTCATCTATGGCCTTATACATACTTAAAAAAAAAAAAAAAAAAGCAATCCAAACTTAACTGCTATATCTGCCTGATAGAACAGGAAATCCAGTCTGTATTTTATTTAACTGAAAATAATACCACCAGCATTCTTACAGGTACCCTTTGGTAGAAAATGTCAAGATAAATGGCAAGATAGGAAAACACATCTTTCTGTATTAGAGATAAAAGTATCTCTAACTTTCAGTAACATTCACTCTCTCTAATAAACACATTATCCTTAAGAAATGACAATAATCATCAAAATGCAGTTATTGTTATTATTCGAAGTGAACTGTGCAACACATCTTAACAGCACTGTTAGCAGAATGACTGCTGAGTGGAATGAAAGCTGAACTCTTCACTTAATCTTATTAACACTACCCTCACAAATAAACAATACCTCCGTGATAACGGCATTCACCAAACTTAGAAATTAATTAACTTTAGTGGTTTCTTTAATCAATTTCCATGCTTACTTTACCAGCCAACAGCTCTAAGATGAAGTGCACCTCTCCTGAAACAGCACTTGGCTATTTTCTACTGCATTCAGATTGCCCATGTGCCAGCTTTGTCTTACCTTGTTCTGGTCTCTGGAGTCTTCATCATCCTGCCTGTGTGCTCACTGTAAAACTAAGTGCTTCTCACTTTGTACATTGCATGTGACATACACCATCACAGCTGAAGCTTTTTTCCCTACACTACCTCCTTCACTATTTTACCTTCTTCTCATCTCAAAAAAAAAAATCTTAATATAATACATGTTACTAATGTTCCTTGACTGAAATATCTAGTATTATATAGTATTATAATATATAATAGAACAGATATGTTCTCTTCCAAGAAAAAAAGGAGTGAAAGAAGTGAAATAACGCCAACTCCCTAAAGATAGAACAATCAGAACAGTCCAAAAGAGTTCATTCTTCCTTTAATGGGTGCAACTGTGCAGCACTGTAAGGAAAAACAAGCTTATGGTTCATCGGCTCCTGATAAAAAACTCTCAGCTTACTACTGTGCCTTTCTTACTATAAAGTAGGCTCGACTGTGAGAAGGCTTCCCCGTTGCAAAGGCACCTCACTTCCTTCTTCGAGATGAATAGCTTTACATACACACACAGATTGCAACCCCTGCTTTGAATTGAATAAATTAATTCAATATAACTACCATTCATGACCAAAACAGTTTAGAATAAAAGACTTACAATGACACCAAAAAAAGGTGACTTATGATGACACCAACATGTAAAAGACTGGGGAAAAAAAATCCACAAAGAAAGCGCCTAGCACTAAAAAGAAAAAAAAATAAAAATAAATAAAAAAGAAAATTACCTGACTGTTCTTTAGTAAAACAACAAAGTATTGCAAACATACTGAGCACAAACAAATACATAGCTTGTTTTTTCTCATTCTACACCAGTTTTAGATGCATTTTAATACAAACTTCTATATTGTTGAAATACTATTTTTACAAAGACTACAGATGTGGTTTCATTTTTTTTTCCTCTATGTGGCCTTCCTCTGTATAGGATCATTTTCATACAGCTCTCTCTAATCTTCATTATTTATGTTTTCGCTCTACACACCTTTGGCACAGGACACTTTTCCCCATGTACTCATTATATGAAATAATAATGCTCACTTGTTTAGCAATGCTATATATATTTGAAGATAAAAGAAACTGAATACATTCTGGTACTAAAAACTGATTTCATTTCATATGAAAGCCCCATCACATTTTTGTGATATTTTTACTCTCAATGCATTGCCAGAGGACTCATTCTCCTGCTCTTGGGCAATAAATCCATTTTAAATCTATCTTAAATCTAAGAAGTGCATGCTTCTTTCTTAAAATTTAAACATAGGTTTTCATCAACTGATTCATCCAATCATTGACCTGCCCTTATTTTATCTGTCCTTACTCATCCTTTCACATTCAATCTCAGTTATCCAAGGAGCAGGAAAACCGAAAGCAAGGGAACAGAAATACAATGCTATAAAAGGCACCAAAATCTCATTATATATTGCTATTTATCTGTATTTATTTTTATCTATATGCATTAAAATACAAATTATGCACAATACCTTTTAAGCTAGGAAAAAACGCATGCTAATAATATATCACAGACAAGATACAGTATGATACGGCTATACAGCTAGAATCTTTCTGAAGGCAATATACAGTAATTTTTACAAGCAAAAGCAAAAATCAACTGTAAGTGCAAGAAGTTTCCAAGGCCACTGCCATTTCACATATGAGCTGCCTTTGATGCCACTAATATGCCTTAGATATTTTCAGCGGTGTAAAGGCAAGGTCTTTTTGAAGAGATAGTGTGTTTTAATGATCTCATTAACATTATTATTTCTGCCATTCACTTTAAAAAGTTTCTGGAAGCTGTGCTTCCCAAGTACAGCAGGAAAACAGCTATGAAATTGCTGGTGAATTTTAGCAGAAATGAGTTTAAGAGTGGAAAATAACTCCTTAACAAACTAACACACCAGACAAAATCTTGTACTAGAAAGGAAAAGATTTCAAAGCAAGACTAATCTTAACAGCTGATAATTTGGGGAAGCAAACTATAGAAGATCAAAATGGTTCCAGGTTTGCTCAAGCACACAGAAGAAAATAAGTGCCATCACACCTTTGCAAGAAGGCAGGGGATGGCCCTACTTCAAACAAGCTATCCTTTTGGCATTCAGCCAAGAGGTTGAATGCTGCACAGGTACTTTGAAGACATGAAAATAAGAAAAGACTAATTTAGGCATGGGCTCTGTTTTTCATATTTCCTATTTTCATATTCCTGAGACTAAAAATAAAGGTGCTAGGGAGGGAGACTAGAGAGTATGCACGTTTACGGCAGATTTTTATGAAAATGACTCAAGGAGATCCCATTGTAGAGAAATCAGGGATGAAAGAAAAAAAAATCATAAAAGGCTTCACCCTTTTGCTTTAGCCACTGACCATGAACACAGACCTGAGGAAAAGGCGACCTTTGCATCTTGCAGAATTATAGGTTGAAAAGCTAGAAAATGAAAGATACACTATTTGTTCCTTAAAGGAAAGGGAGAACAGCAGATCTTATGACTTGGTCCTCTACTAATCCTTCTGTAAATTTTAGTATAAGGAAAGAGAAGGAAAACTTTCTCTCTTCCAAATCCACTCCACCATATACCTGAGTCAAGCTGCATGAACTCAACCACTGCTGGATTACACCTCAGTAAAATGTCATTAACACACATCTTTAGGGAATAGAGCATAACAATTTTTATAATGGTTCAGAAATGAAAGGTTCCAACTGTCATAGTAGTCTCAAACTATTAAAAACATCCACTAAGTGAACTGCAAATTGAAAAACATTCTTACTGGAACAAAACTGGAAATACTGCTACTACATGAACCATCATTTACCTCCAAGTGTTTATCATTTTTGTGTATGTTTCACTGCAGTTTTCCGTTTAATTTGAAAGCTTATGTCATCTTCACATATACAGCACATATATTATCCTTTTCAGCTTTCCTTGAAGATCACTTTGCTACCTAAGCAACAAGCAGAACTTTCACCCTATCTCAGGAAGCCCTGAGCCTTTTAGGCATCTAAAACCAAAGACAAATACTAATTAAAAAAATATATATTATTTGAATTTTAAAAATCACCAGTTTTTCTATTCCAGACTCAGACATTCCATGATTAGCAACAATTCATAACTTAATCATTCTGTCAGTCCATTTTATTAAAATGCAATTAAAAAGTACACTACGAGTTCACACTTAGCAATGCACAACTCRGTAAACAAACTGAAATTTCTAATCTGCTGAAGCTGATACAAAAAAAGACCTTATGATAAAACAAACAGTTCCATATTTGAAATAAATTGTCTCCGTTTATCATCATTATTGCAAGATCAAACAGCATTCTTCATAAGAAAGATTTATCAGATTTAATTAGCAGAATCAATGGCATAATCATACACTTGGCAATTTGCTATCCTGATTTTTGTAACTGAAATTCTGTTTGGCAAAGATAAAAATATGAAAAGGAAAGTATAGGAAGGTATTTCATCTCTTTCTTTTTTTCCTCTCTATGGAGACAGCAATATTTATTATTTTCAATCATTAGTACCACTTCCAGTAGTTTTTAATCTAGGACTCTAGGATCTATTTTTCTAGAATTCTAGGGCAAATGTACAAGCTTGGTATATTTTGGAAACATGCATTATCTGCTGTTTAAAAGTGTAGTTTTAGTTCCAATGAAATACTTCTCAAATAGAAATATTTGCAGATTAAAAAAAAGTTCAGTTTTGTCAGCTATTATAATGAAAGCTTGTTGTCCTTCAACGGTAATAATTTCTTTAGCCTACCTACTGTGAACATGCAGTACAAAAACATTTCAGTTCCCTTGATAAATGTGTGCACTTGATGCATATAATTTATATATGTTCAGGCATACATTTAGCACTGATATTTAACATCTGTTAACAGTTTAACATCTGATGTACACAGTTCTAAGCAACTCGGAACAAAAGAAAGCYGCAGGTCTGAGAAGCTTTACTCTTTCTGTACCATATTTTGAGGAATGGGGAATCTGGCACTTGCGTTTTTCTTCAGAAAAAAAGTCAAYTGTCAAAACAAACAAACAAACAAAACCCCTGCTATAAGAAACTGCACAACTGGAGTTAAATAACTGATGGTTAATATCTCAATAACAATATGTATGTCTGTATGTCAGCACAGTCAAACACGAAAAATAGCTAATAATTCAACACACAATAAAAGTAACTAAAAAACAGCTGACATCAGATGTATTCTGGAGCTCTTATGTTCAAACTTGTCATATATAAAAAGTCCTTAACGCTCTACCGTGCATTTACAACTCGTCCAAACACTGCCTGCCATTGTTAAAAATCCCAGCATTGTGTGGAAGAAATGCACAGTGATGAGTTCGAAAGAACTTCCTTTCTCTGATAGCCTGAAGGATGAAGAAGAAACCAAGAAGCATAAGCATGCTACCACATCTCCTGACAAATATAACTCAACACCATTCTACCTACAACTTAGTTCACCTGTAAAGAAATAGAAATGCTTGTCTTCAATAAGATTATGCTGTAAGCTGTTGTTACCATTGCATTTGGAAAAACAAAATCAAAATAAAGTTGCATTTTAACTGCAGCTAAAACACCAAGTGAATCATGTGGGTAAAACCTATTAAATTTCTAAAATAAACTTGTTAGAATACCAGTAGCCAATAGCAGGGATTGATCATGGATACAAATAAAAACAATGAAAGGCAAGAAAACTTTGTCAACTGACAATCTACAAGACAAGGTTTCTAGTTCTCCTTCTTTCAAGATTATTCTCTCCTCTTTGTGACTCCAGCTACCTCTCTCATAAATGTCAGAAGAGACGCACTAACATCACCTTAAATATAAAATAGGTCATTTCTCCAATATTTCATTTTTATTAAGTATATTTGCTATTATGAACCAGCTTTCTACCACAAAGTCACCATCTATTCATACCACGTTTTATAAATTCTCTCAATTTACACATAGTGTAAATTTGAGTGCACCTCCAAATGTAATGAACCACGCTGTGAATATTTCAGGGAAAGATGAGACAGTGGTACACACAAATATATTTGCTATTTGAAACATATATAATCTGTTTACCTTCTAATTCTAGAGTGTATTGCAGGGGRGGATGCATGCACACACATGCAACACTTAAGTTAAAAAAGCAAGGAAAAAAAAAAAGTTTTGGTTACCTTGTAAAGGTTTGTGAGTTTCTTACTGCAAGTGTAATTTTTGCTTTCCGTGAATCATCTCCAATATTTTCATATGCAAGGAAATTTACCAGGAAGAACACTTTGCTGTAAATCCAGCAAATCACATTTACTATYTGGGCCTTCAGAACTCTCACTCAACTGCCTGGCCACAAAATTAACTCTGGCAGCCAAAAAGTCATCCTTTAAGTATATAACTTACCATATGTTTTCATCTTCCTTACTTACATTAAAGTATTTTCCTTTTTAGTTATAGATTACAAAAACACTGCACAAAAGCTTTTCAGGGAAAGAAAACCTCAAAACTATCAAGAAGAATAATAGCAAATATCATGATATGTTCAGGCTTGCTAGGGATAGAATTTAGCTAGCTTTACCTCTTCAAAGGAAATATTAYTCAAGAAGTACTCCAAACAACGAAACACCAGTGTGCTAGTCAAGCTACTGCAGTTAAAAACTAAGCAAGTACTTTGAACACTATGCTCATGGCAAACTTGACAAGAAGTAATGATAGAGTCTGTGAACATCACTCTGCCCTACTATTATCCCACTTACCCATGGAGGCTTCTTGCACCAATAGAAGCAGAACGAGTCATTCTTAAAATAGAACTGTTTGCATCAGACGGTGACATAACAGTATAATTCTAGTTTAAATTCATAATTTAGATTATTATTTATGAGGAAATCTCCAGCCTCTTCTTAAAAGTGCTCTGTATTACAAAGCTTTTGTGACAGATAGAATTCTGCAGACAGACAGAAAAGAAAAAAAAAAACATGCACCCATGAAGCCTATGTGAACTGACAACAGATTCACATACTACACTTTTATTTTTAGTGCAGCCAGCGACCCACAGGACAACACAGAAACAAAGACGTGATCTGCTCTTTAAGACACACATATTCACTACAGCCCAAGATCATACAGTGTTCACACAGAGATCTTCTCAGTCTCCTACATACTATACTTTTCAATGAAAACCTCTGTCAAATAATTGTTATAGGAGCATGTACATTTTGCAGAACTGGAAAAACAGTAAATGGCAGCTAAGAACATAAGTAATCCCACTGTTACAGAAATCCAGATATTTGCGTCAAAAAAAAAAACCCAGCAAACCCAAATCCTCTGCCATACAGATCAGTAGAACATAAAGAACACCCATGTGGCCTGACATAGTTGCATTAACACAGAACTGCTTAATATGCTTCCTGTGTTTGAAATTATAAAGCAACTACAATACTTTCAGTATAAACCAGTTGTGGTCTGCTACACAAGGTGAGCTTTTAGGACTTAGCTGCATCATAAGTTGAAGACGAGCAAGATGTGAAACCCTTCCTTCCACATCCTGACAAGTGTTTGGAGTCACTGTGCTCCAAATCAACATCAGAGATCAACCCAACCAGCACGTTAAATGAAACGCACAGTGCAAAATAGGTGGCAGACTGAATGGTGACTGTGCTAGACTGCACCTCTCTCAGTATGTCCTCCCGAGATCCATCTTTCTGTGAACAGTGGCAGCTCCCTGCAGTGCTACATGAGACACGTAGGGTCTACACTTTTTTTCATATTCATATTGAAGAACAACGCAGCACTCATGTCTCACACTACCTGAGRTGTAACAAAATGGACAGTCACCATCGTGCTTCTCTTTACAAAGTATAATTATTTTGCAAAGTAGAAAAGATGCACTCAAAACCTAGACACCAAAAATGTTAACATGCAATTATTTATGGCAAAAAAAAGAAAACAACTCAAAAGACCTCCTAAGTATCAAGCGCAAATGCATTTTAAAACCAAATTTGCTTAGCAGGATTACAGGCAGAAGTTGTAATTGCGAGGGCTCCCTGACTTCAATTTATCTCTGAAATACCCCCTGGAGCAACGTCTCCCGGTCCTCCTCGCAGGCCCTCAGCCGCCAGCCTCCCTGCCGCTCAGAGCCAACGTTTGGGCAGCCAAACAGGCAGCCGCGTTTACAAGGGGGACAGCCGCCGAGGAGGGAGGCGCAGCAGGCGGCCCCCTCAGGCTGCTCGTGGGCTTGCGGCGCGACCGTTAAACGGCTGCGGCGCACGCCCGCCTCACGCGCTCGAGGCATGCAGCGCGACCGTTAAACGGCCGCGGCACGCGCGGCAGTGGGGGGCGCCYCGCGCACTACTAGCGCGATTGTTAGGAGACTGCGGCGCGCGGCCACCTCACGTGCGTCCAGCGTGGCCGTTAACGGCTGGGAGCGTCTCACGCATTTGCGGACATCCAGCGCGACCGTTAACGGCTGGGACTGCCTTCCGCCCTCGCGGGCATCCAGCGCGACCGTTAACGGCTGCGGCCACCTCACGCGCTTGCGGGCGTCCAGCGCGACCGTTAACGGCTGGGAGCGCCTCACGCCCTCGCGGGCGTCCTGCGCGACCGTTAAAGGCTGCGACCGCTTCATGCGCATTCGGGTGTCCAGTGCGACCGTTAACGGCTGCGGCCACCTCACGCCCTCACGGGCGTCCAGCGCGACCGTTAACGGCTGGGACCGCCTCACGCGCTTGAGGGCGTCCAGCGCGACCGTTAACGGCTGCCGCCGCCTCATGCGCTCGCGGGCATCCAGCGCGACCGTTAAAGGCTGCGACCGCTTCATGCGCATGCGGGTGTCCAGCGCGACCGTTAACGGCTGCGGCTACCTCACGCCCTCACGGGCGTCCAGCGCGACCGTTAACGGCTGCGGCTACCTCACGCCCTCGCGGGCGTCCAGCGCGACCGTTAACGGCTGCGGCTACCTCACGCCCTCGCGGGCGTCCAGCGCGACCGTTAACGGCTGCGGCCGCCTCACGCGCTGCAGGTGTCCAGCGCGACCGTTAACGGCTGCCGCCGCCTCATGCGCTCGCGGGCGTCCAGCGCGACCGTTAAACGGCTTCGGCGAGCGGCGGAGTTCCCCCGTGCGCCTGGCTGGCCCTTCCCGAGGATGCTACTTGTCGCAGTGGCAGAAGGAGGGAAGATGAAGATGCCTGGGGCGCTGTTGCCTACCTCGCGGCGCTGCGCGGGGAGCTGCTGGTGCTGTAGGTAGCCCCGGGCGCTGGGCGCGAGAGGACTCGCCATCTCCTGAGCGGGACCAAGCCAGGGCGGAGCACGCAGGAGGAGGAGAAGGCGGCCGCCGCCATGTCGGTCCCACCGGGCGGAAGCACCGCCGCAGTTGAGCGGCGAAGGGAGGAGCCAAGGCGAGCGGCAAGCCCGGACCGCGCCGGGGCGGGGTGCTGGGAAGGTCCCTGCCGGCTCCGCGGTGGCCTCGTCGTCCCCGGTGTCTGGGAGCTGCCGCCGATCGCCGCGGTGGGGGAGCCGCGATGCCTCGGGGGTGCAATGAATATGCCTTCCAGCAAGGCTCGAACTGTGCAGCCAGGGCAGGCRAGCCTGTGGTTTGTGTACTGGAAAGGCGAGCAGCTCGGCTCTGTTCCCCCGGGGCACGCTACAATGCTTTGCGGGACTGTGGCGGGAACTTTGATGCCCTCGGGCAGGAAAGCAGACAGAGCTTTCGGGCCTTTCGTCTCTTCGTGCGCATCAGTGACCCCTATGAGCTTCAGTTCTTCAAATGTGGCATGACCTTTTTGGACGGCAGATTTTGGGCTATGTAGAAAGGAGAAAAAGGACTGAAATATTCTGATCAAAGTACACAAAAGTAATGACAGCCTCATCTGCAGTATTGGAGCACTGACAATTGATAGATTCCTTTTTGAAGTTGTTGGTGCTTTCCAGAGATGCAATGCATTAGTGAGGCAGTAATTTCTGCTATGGCATTTATTTGATCAGTGTTCAGGTAAGGARCATGGCGTTAAGTGCTTGCACAGAAACTGTGCATATGATTTTTAAATTTTTTTCCTCCTAGAGTCCTTATCAGTTCCATTATTATAGATACAACATGTGTTGTCTGCCTTTGCTTGCCACCTCTTATTTTGGAGGTAGCAGCAACACTAAACTTTGCATAATCTGGCATGAGCTATCTTAATTTTAAAGCCTTATCAAAAGGAATATTTTACCAAGATTCATTGGCACAGCTACATACAGTATCCCTTCATTGACACAGCTACATACAGCATCCCTTACCCTCTTGGTTATTTCTTACCAATATACTGTTTCAAGAAAACTGAATGTGTGAGGACATAGAAGACCCATGTCAATTTATGGTCCTAACAGTTAAATYGTCAAGATAGATCAAAGATATAACTTTGCCAGCGTTCTAGCATTGAACATTCTCATAACATAACATTCTCATATTAGTCACTTTAGCAAGCGAGATGAGAAAATGAATGAAAGTAAGGAAGTGGAGTACTTGAAGGAGAAATATATCATGTAGTGATGTTAAGATGTATTAAAAAAGAGAAAAGTTGAAGGGGATCACACACAAAAAAAATCAGGATGGGGAGATGAAAAAAATGGCAGTGGTCTTAAAAATGGGCGTGACAGAGCAGAAACTTCCATCAAAAATTTCCTTTTGTTTAACATGAAATTTTTGCAAAGGTTCTCCACTTTTTACTTTTTTTTTTTTAATACAAGGTGTGTACCTGATTGCAAATCTTTGAACTACTGCTGCTGACATTTCCCACATAAAAGATACCCACCTTTTATTTTTTTCTGGAAAATGAGTACAGTAGAAAAGACAGTTGTTTTATTAATATTTGTTGATAAAATTTAATATGCCAATTGAGACTTGAAAATAGCTTTTTTTCAAAAGTAAGTCACTTGTGAACAGACAAATACAGGCAATCATATTCTTCTACCAAGTGATGCTAAACTCAGCAGAAAAGCATAGTTACCYATTATCTTTTATTCAAGCATGTCTTTTCTATGAGTAGGACATTAGTGATGTATAGTGACCACTGCAAGCAAATATAATTTGTTCATTTACTGTAGTAGGAGGAAGAAAATGTTTTTGTGTGTATGTGTACCAGTGCTCTAATTTTCATCTAGCAACCCTCCATTTTATATTGTCCTGTTTTGTTCATACAGAAAACAAAACAAGATTATTTTTAACATACATAACTTTAATTACTTAAAACCATAAAGAGCTAAGGAAAGAAATTAAAGCAAGTGGGTTACAGGACATTAATAGACTGTTCAAATACTGCTTAATAAAGAATACCTAAGCAGAGATAATCAGGCCATTTTAAAAGTCATAAGTATCTTACCCTAAGACAGTTACTTTATCAGATTATTTTGTCAATATAGAATAGAAAGATATAGTGATGTTATTAAATGTCCATTAAAAGCCCACTAGCGGGTGGTCTTTGTGTTCAAAATATTTTCTCCTCTCCGCTGTCTCCCCTTAGCCAAAATAATGGAAGTGTGAGGAGACAAAGAAAAGAGAGACAACGCATGCAAAGCTGAACACATATTAAGGAAGAACTCTTCAGCCCTCAGGAAATGTTCAGTTGTTTGGTTGTTATGTTGTTTCTTTTTTTTTCTGTTGAGAAGTGCTGATCTGCAAGCAGACTGAAAAGAAGGCAGTACAGAACGTACAGAACATTATCTTCCGTTAATACATGCTCAAATACGTGTTTATATGTATGTGTATGTGCGTTATTATGTATCCTGATGGTAGCTTGCCTCTCTTAATGTCTTGTGCCATCATCACCATCRGAATTCCAGACTGTGTCTTTATATTGTATTTATAAAGCCCTTGAATGTATTAGGATACATTCAATTCAATTAGGATTGCGTATAAATGCAAGTTTTTCTTTCCTTGTTTTCAGTGTCATGTTACAAGTTAGTCATTAGGTGGCAGCAGTGGCATACGTTATTCCTGCTTATCCTGTTACTTTTCGTTCTGCTGCCTTTATAAATGCAGCATTTTTAAGTTTGGTTCGAATGTCACCAAGAACATTATTGACAACCTTGACTACGCATATTTCTAGGCAGTCTGTAGCAGAAAGATCAGAGTATATACATTTATTGAACACACGTTGTTCCGCAGGAAATGGAAGAGAAAGTAAAGACAGAAGTGTAGAATCTCCTTCCTTGAAATATTCCAAAGCCGCCTGAATACAATCCTGGACAATATGCTATAGATGATCCTGCTTCAACAGGTCTGGGTAGGGTAGATGATCTGTAGAGAGCCCTTACAACCTCAATCATTCAGAGATACTATGAAATACATATTATGCTATATAGAATTTGATTTTAATGTCAAAATAGAATGTGTTATTGCACAACTATTACTAATAATGACAACTATTCCTAATTCCCAATAACTCTTTCTCTATACTGTTACTCTTTATAGATCTATACACAAAGAAGAACAAAGTATCTCAGTGCTTGAGCTCTTTGCTATAGATAAAAAGGACAGAGACTGTACATTTTGAGCCTTGGGAAGCATCTCTTAAGTTTGATGACATATCTTATTTGAGTTTATATTCTTCTTTAGGTTATTCTTTAATCATTAAGAAATAAGAACATTCCTCAGACTTTTAATATGAAGCTTTAATCTTCCTTAGATCTTATGTTCCAGATTATTTTCAAAAAAAGACCAAAAGAAATTCTTCTTCTAATAGCATGTCTCAGCAAAATGTAAGAGCAGCTTTCTGTGTGGCTCTTACTCTATTATGCAGACATAACTAGCACTGCTACTGAGAAAAAAAAAAAAAGAGAAAATCTTCATTTCTGTGACTTGGTAAAACATTTCCAATTCATTTGCATAACTAAAAATAAGGACTTTACAAGGTCAGGYCACAATTTTCAACATGGTATTCTTGTTAAGAATTCAGATAAGGTTTTAGTATAGATAAAGGTAACCATATGAGACATTTGTCTCTAAACTCTTGGCATTTTATTTACTGAAAACATAGATATTGTCCAAAACCTTCCTGAAAAAGATGTATAGAATAGCTGACATCTGCATGTCATCTGCATGTTACAGCTGCTTATGTATCTATAAAATGTCATCCTTCTTTATTTTCGAGGATTTATGGAATTAGCAACACTGATGTGGCAGTGGTGCCAAGTTCTCATGAGTTTATTTCTGCTCTTTTATGGCACAAAACTTGTGTCTGATGCAAAGTTAAAATAATTTCCGTCACTTATTGTTTTGTTTTTCTTTCAGGCAAGGACAGATGGTCCTTTCAAATGCTTTGTTGCTGTGGGCTGAWGATGTATTTTGCACAGAGTGAGCTGTGAACAGCTGGCTTTTGTGTCTAAGGTGAGTGCCTGATTGTACATGATGAGCATCTAACTCTTTAGAGTGTTCAAAACAGGTGAGGAATAGCTACAAATTGTTTACTGAGATGGGTTCTGGTGAGGCAGTGGTAGTTTGAGATTAGTTTGGTAAGTTAGCCTCTGCTGGGTTTTTTTTGAAAGAYGCTTTTATAAACTGACAAAGTGAATTGGTATCCATGGGCTGGGAGATTTGGTTGTACCCCTGTTGGAAGACTCAGATGAAGGCAGGCTACAGAAAGTAGCAGGAGTACAGAAAAAAAGCACTCATAAGGATCTAAGAAAAAGTGCAGTGGATCTTGGATCTTGACTTCTGGAAAGAAGATCATGGAAAAAAACTTACAAATAAATGCTCAGAATGTTCTGGTTAGTTTTAAGTGTTTAAAGTGATCTTTGTGCTAGTAAAAATGTATTTAATACCCTCACGGTGATGGAGGCAATATTCCTGCAAAGAAGAAACCACAGATCAAAATGAAAGTACATGTTAAAGACAGAAAAATATGGTATGTTAAGTGATCTTAGTTGGAAAAACTAAAGGGATAAAGAGGCCTTTTAAAATAAATTCTTTATTCAGTATATTTCTGAACATCTGCAGATATTTACTTTCATTGGAGATTTTAAAAACTTTGCTGATGTAATTATATTTTCCTGGTTTTGTGAGCTAATTGTAGAGCTGATTTAAAGGTAGTATTTAATGAAGAAGAGAGGAGTAGCAAAGTTGCTGGAATAAAAGGTATGGATTATATTGTATTTATTGTCTGGAAATTACAGGAACAGTGTTACTCTGAAAATTGTCGGGTACTATCACTTTATGGAAAGGTCATTAATACAATAAAACTGATGAAGAATCAATGCAAGCTGTGCTACAATAGGGTATTAGAGATATCAACAGTAAATGGAAAGGCAGCGCCAACTGTATATACTAAGTGTAGCAGCTTACTTGGGATTGCATACTTAGGGT